AAAGAAAGAAAGAAACAGCCACAAACTTAGTGGCAAACTTAATTTCCGAACTGTTGTATTCTCTGATCTTGTTAAAATCCCCCCTGCAAAAAACTTGCCTATCTCCCATCCAGCCACAGTTGTCACCAAAACAAATTACCACCTTGCATTACCAATGGTTCAAACAGCTTCCTGGTAGAAACGGCAGGAGGAACAGAAAACGGTGCAAATCTCTAAATGATGTACCATCACTCAAATGTTAAAACTGTACTTGTGAACAACTGCAATTAGAGTTGGGCCAGGGCAAAGTTAGCTCAGCTGCTTCTGAACACACCTGTTTCAATTTAATTTGTAATTAAGAAGCCTAGGGCACCAGAGGGAAAAAAAAAAAAAAAAAAGCTTTTCAGTTACTATTTCAAACAGCAGAGATTTCATGTGCCATTTAAAATCCTGTTTTTCAGAACAGACTGCTGACTTGCTAACGCTAGCAGAATGAAATAAAGGAAAATATTTTTAGCAGCAGGAAGTTGTTACTTGCTACTGCCAATTACATGCCTTGTACTTGAACAGTGACATTTTTCCCCCTTTGCTTATTCCTGAAGATAGGTAAAAGCTGGCTTAGGTCTCCGTGCATGAGAATTTGAACAAAACTCTCAGTCCCCTTGAGCTGGCCGACACTTTTGGAGTCATAGCCAATACTGGCAACAATCTGCTGTGACAGAGCAAACAACAGTGTCCTAGATCCACTCTTCAGAAAAGGGGGAAGGAGAAGATTAAGCAAGAGACTTGGATCTATTGACTTTGGCAAAAGGCTGAATACCTTGTCATGCTAATAAAATTACTGAATTTGGGGGAGGAGAAATCGGGGCAGAGGGGGAGAAATAAGAAAAAGCATAAAAATTACATAAGAATATTTATACTCTGAGTTAATTTATCAAGCTGACACAAAGATGAATCATCCACCATTAAAATGGACACAAGGTTTCTTTATATCACAATTATTATTTACAACTCGTCTAAATGTTCATGGAGGAGTCAAATATCCTCATCTTTTAATTTAAAATGTGATCTTGCAAGCCAAAATAGAACTGTTGGCAAAACTAAGTTTCTACAGGAATAGTGCCCAAAGAATGATTTCTTCAAAAACAGGATATCTTACCAGGGATCATGGCACTTTTTTTTTTTTTTTTTTTTTTAAACCTACAGAGTGAGGGACACAGGGCTCAAGGAACTCACATAAAAGTAGGACTCTAAGAAACACCACAATGACACGAAGCAATACCAAGGGCCTGTGGTGTAGACAGACATTTGCTACTTTTGACTCATTTGAAAACTGTATCACAAAGATCAGTTATTTTTCTGAAGTACCATACAACTCTGCTTTGACACATTAATTCCCACATACCGAAATTTCACACGAAGCCAATACAGTTGCTCTAAGTTAACTAATCTGAATTGTACATGGAAAGGTAAATGTCCATTATTTAACCACTGCTCTCTACTCTACTTTTAAGCCAGTGGATGCAACCATAGCATTGTGTTCTGAGGTTGAAAAGTATGCAAAAAAAGAAATAAGTATCTTAGAAATGCACAACTTCCTGAATATTGTTTGGATAATTTAAGACAGTTTTTAATACTAACAGTCATTACGCCAATAGACTGACAAGGATATGTATTTAAAAAACTGTACAAGAAAACAAAAAAAGAAATCCATACGATAAAGTGGGTGTTAGTAGCCAGCACCATCAAGTCACTATTGAACTCTATGGAACATAACAGCATCTACCTGAAAGTGTGCCTATATAAACCCACAAACAATACGAAATACATGAATACTACATCTTTTATTCATTTGACTTTTCAGCTTCAATAGGCAACTTCTTTAGAATCCAGGTTTTAAGTTCTTCTATTTCATTTCTGTTTAACTCATGATTGAGGTTTGGAAAAGTATGAAGAGAAGTTGATACTCCCAGTGACTTTAACATCTTGTTCGTTTCTTCACCCCAAGAATACAGAACTAGGTCATCAGCAGTTCCATGACACTGAAATAATTCTGGAAGAACACTTTCATTTCTTTTCAAAGCCTAGATGGAGAAGAAACACTGTGTAACACATCGCCATACATTTTCAAAGAATATTTACAATTACATGCTGACAATTTACATAACACTTCAATTTACTAATCTGCCTATTAGTGCAGATATTGTACTGTCTCTATAAAAGCAAACTAAGAAATGTTGCAGGAAAAAAAACCTGCATTTCAAGTTCCACTGGTAAGTCTTAACTAATGATAAGGCTTAAATTTAAGACTATGTCCCTTTCCAAACAAGAGAAAGGAAATAAATTCATGGCAGCAGATGGAGCCAATGAGCATTGTAATTCATTATAAATTTTCAAAGAGCAATTACACCTTACATGGACTCTAAGAACTACTGACAACTTTCAAAGCATTTAGTTTGTTAATTCTCTTTCTGCATTGATTTAGTCTGAAAAAAAGTAGTTGTACTGTCTGTTCAAAAAGCAACTAAACATTATGTAAGGACAGTTTTAAAGCCTTATTTCTCTAACGCTCTTCTTACCTGTTTAAAGGAAATGTAAGTTTAGAATGTTAATCTAATATCTCAGATGCAGAAACATGCTATATTTGATTTTAATTATCACGCTTTTCTTTAAGCCAAGCAACATTACTGTAAAAACTTTTCACACTCACCTCATATACAGCAGAATCTTTATTGAGAAAACTAGACAGTGCAAAGACTCCTGCCAGATCTTGATGAAACCTATATGCTAAATGCATTGCCATTCCACCTCCCATAGAAAAGCCTCCTATGATGGAACAAAACAAACAAATACAGGATTTTACTATACATTTGTAATCCACTTTGATTGTTTTTATCTTCAGACCTTTTATGCACAATGCAACAGAAAACTATATTGTTATTTTGTTACTTAAACATCTTAAATTGAAAGTTGATTCAATTCAGAAGTTGGACAGCTAAAGAGCCACAACAGGTTCATCACTAGGTAAGAAAAAACAAACCAAAACACTCTGACTTTAGAAGCTGTTTGCATATGCCCTATTTCAGATACTTGAACATTATGTATATATATTCGTATATGAATAAAACAAAATCCTATGAACAAAATTCTCCTGTTTTTAAGGTTAATACAATTTAAGCATAAAAGACCTGTTTTGCTGTTGTATATAACCAATAAACACTCACATTAAGCTACTCAGAGTTCGAAGCTTTTTGTTGTTGTTACTCTTAAAATAGACAACAAATAGGGAAAAAAACAGTGAGGTAGCCCACCTCAGTTCATAGAATCATTTATGTTGTAAGGGACCTCAAAGATTCAACACCCCTACCAATCAACAGGGGCAACTGAGTTCTAACAAGATCTCTGATCTAACAGCCTTCTGTTAAGTACCTATCTTAAACTGCACTACTTTCTTATGCAAGAATTCCTCAGGGATGATTTTTACATGACAAATACTCATTAGTAAAGAAGTCCAGACCACTGCATTACTTCACAAAGGCGTAGTAGGTAAGGTACTACACTGACTGCATCCAGATAACGACTAGCATGAAGAATGATTGGCTGGCTAAAACATCTCTAGCACACAGATAACTGGCAGAAAGGTTGTGACAGCAGCCATGCTCAGAGCAGCACAAGTACAAGTGTACTAATGAAACCATTAGTTTATACCAAGCTGTTAACTAGTGTTAATTAGTAGCAAAATTCTGTATCCAAATGTTAATTAGTAGCAAAATTCTGTATCCAGACCTTTTAATGCAAAAGACCTGGAGATACAGCTTGAAGGAAAAATAAAAGTAGACAAAACATGCACCCATTTTAGCTTAGTCTTCTGAAGTGATCAAATGGAGATGTGAAAATGAACAAAGCTCTTCTGTAAGGACTATGCGAGCCCTCTGTTTTGAGTTTGTTCTGTTGTACACTTAAGTTTCATATTCATACCGGTTGCTGTACAAAACTTAAACTGTTTAAACTAAAGGTTGATTTCAAGGGTAATGTTAAAAGTAATATGCCTAAGTACTCTGTGGCAGTTCAGAAACACAGGTAGTTGAAGGATGCATGAGTAAGTAAATCCAAAACACAAACTTCACACAGTTCACATCATCTGAAGTTCTGAAGAAACTTTTCCTCACAAAAATACTGAAAACATCACTGCAAGCTTTTCACCTGCATCATCATTCCCCACCAGACAAGTTCTTTCATATGTATGAGGATTCAACAATGAAAAAGATCATGTTGCAAAAGACTCATAGAATAACCCCCAAAATTTCAACCCCACTAACCCCACATTCACAGAGAGAAAAATAAAGCCTGTGGAAGTACCTACAAATACAGCAAGTTACACAGCTATCACATAAACAACATCGTGTATGGAGCTGAGTTTTTCTGTATTCTCTTCTGTGAAACCTCATCATTTCCTCCCTTTTCTTTTGATCAGTCTGAATGACATTATTATATCAGTCCTCTGCAAGACGAACTTTTATATTATAATAGTTTACAAAAAAGTGCAGATATGCTTTGTCCACACAGAAAATAAAGCCTGCTTTGAATGTTTTTGAATACAAAAAAGTTTGCATTGAAAACTCATTACTAGTTTGTAAATGATTTAATCTAAAATTTTGTACTGAGTTAGTCACAGTCTGGCAACCCTATCAGCAATTACTCACTAGCAGTCTTTGACAATGCAGTCACCTTCTGTTTAGAAGAATATTAGGTAATGGTTCTTTCATGTGGCTCATACTACTATAAGAAAAATGTAATGCAAAGGACAGCTAGCTCTTTGAAATTGGTTTTCCAGAAGAAAACCTGAATTTTATCACTTAACACCACAATAATCTGTAAAGACACACCACGTAGTAAATACTTTGAAACAATTTGAATAAGCATTTGCCGTTGGAAGCAAACCTCAACTACAAGAAGCATGATACTGTAAATGTAAATTCGACAAAAAAAGGTATGAAACTACTACAGGAATTCAGGTTTCAGATTAAGGAAAAATATTACAAGATATTACAAGGAATAATGTATGAAGTGACAGAACACACGCAACACAGAGAAGTACAAGATGCTTATATACACTTATCATCTCAGTATAACCAATACCTAGATTCTACAGCATTGTTAAGAAGATTGTCATGAATTAATCAAGACAAAAAAATCACACTGCAGCATTTTACCTTAGATAGGCAAGACCTTCTCTTGAGATGAATGTATATGCCAGAACAGAAAGGCTGTGAACAAAGTTCAGATTTTACTAACATGTTTTTACAGAAAACCTGTGTTCATTTTCTATTTTTTTCACTTCATATCTATTTTTTAAAGAGATGTGCAATCAATAACTAAAAAATTAAGCGACCCAGGAGCATTGTTTCTTAGTATTATGTTGCCTGCTATACAAAAGAGGTTTAGGCACAGGCTAAGTAAGCATAAGCACATATAAAACAGGCTCAATTCAGTAGAGCAGGTTCCTCTAACAAAGAAACTTCACTCAAACGTGCATTTATGACCTCAAATCTGCTTCTGTGTAGTCTGGTTTCTAGGTAAGACCTACCCCTGCAATGAAAATAAAGCTGCTTGTAATTTGCTTTGTTAATTAAGAAAAATTTTTTGCTAATCACAAAAGATCTGTTGAAATCAAGGGGATTTCACACTTCCAAATTAAAGAGTGTGAATCAGAAGGAAACTCCCAAGGTCTACTTTATTAATAACAAAACATTCTTGACTGGAATAACATGTAGCAGTACTAAGAAAATACCCCAACCATATGGTGATATAACACTAAAGAGAGAATGAATTGCTTGTACGTAATTTATTCATGCTTGAAAAAACCAAACTTAGATCACTACTGCCACTTTTCAGTGATAAAACCATTTTAGAGTTTATAAGTAGCCTAAAGAACATTCTAAAGGTAAAGGTCTTTGTATAAAGCCTTGAGCACACTTGTGCTATGGATACTGACTTCTATTAATTTTCTCATTATTTCTATCAGTTTGAAATAATAATGCGGTTTGTGACGGTGCTTTAATATTATGTTCAGGAAACCAAATATTTATCTACTGTCACACTTCATTTTTATTCATTTCTTTGTATTAAGTAAAACAACATTTGAGTTTGTATCCAAGAAAGTGAATAAACATTATCTCGCACAAAGGTTTATTTTGCTCCCTCCCTCTCAAGCATTCTGTGTACAGGAGAGAACGTTAACTGTCTTCTCTGTGCTGCACTTAGTACCTGCAATGATTCATTCCTGAATTCAGGAAGCTTTTCACATTTTCCTAGGGGAATGAAAACTTAAACAGTTTCAATACTGTTGATTCCTTATTGATTTATAAATCTGACAGTAAAATCATAAAAATGGTTTGAACTGACAGAGACCTTTACCATCTAGTTCCAACTTTCTGCCCATAACATCAAATTCCACATGGCCCCATCCAACCTGGCCTTGAACACTTTCAGGGTTGGGACATCCATAGCTTCTCTGGGCAACCTGGTCCAGTGCCCCACCACCTTTACAATAAAGAATATTTTACTAATACCTAATCTAAATCTACTCTTTTAAAGTCATTATTCCTTGTATTGCCTAAAGAGACTCTGATAGAGCCTCTCCCCATCTTTCTTGTAAACCTATAGGATTATATGGAATTACAGACTAGTTTGGATTGGAAAGCACCTTGAAGTCCATCTGGTTCCAACCTCTTGAGTTTGTGATTTTCCAAGAGCCTCTTGTTTACCCATACAGGCTTCCTGGACTTTCTGACTTCATCTTTCTTAGGATTCAACACTCCAGAGTCTAGAGGAGATGACCCTTGAACAGCAAACCAGTTTTCTTGCACCCCTCCTCTCTCCAGGGCTTTATCACAAGGGACTTGACCTGAAAAAGCCAAATTATGCTCTCAAGTCCAGGACTGCAAGCTCGTTGTGAGCCTCTTCATTGCCCAAAGTATCTTGAACTTCACTAATTCACGGCCACTGAAGCTGTCCCTGAGCTTCACATTCCCCACAAGTCACACTTCAGCAAGACAAGGTCCAGCACAGCATCTCTCCTCTTTTGTTCCCCTATTATTCGGAGAAGGAAGCCTTAATCATTTTGTTACATGTACTGATTATGGAGATTTACAAAACAGTGAACCAGGTCATTTTTAAGTCTTTCCCATTATGATTATTAAAAAGTGATTAAAGCTGTTTTTTCCCCAGTAAAAATCACAGTGGCAGGAAACAATTTTAATTATTAATCACATTTTTACATCAATTCTGACATGCACATGGTGTGCAGATCTGCTATTTGTGGAGACAAAGCACGAACTCCTCTCTCATGAGTTACTGTTGCAGAATTAGAAACTAGTTCATTATAGCACAGCATAGGAAAAGTGGCTAAGCACAGACTTTTAACACAAGGATACAGATTTGGATGTAGGAGTGGGTTTTGAAGTGCTTATTTTAACTATTAGAGAAACAAAAGAAGAAATATTGTTTATTTTTCATCTACCCTGTATTTCTTCAGATTTGTCAGCACAGCTTTGGTAACAAAGTGGCAAGAGATGAATGTCACAGCATCTGTACCAGCACTGTGAAACAGAGACAATTACCCTCCTGTTCTGTTGGGCTACACCAGCAGCTGGCAATTGCCTTTGCTCATTCTGTTATCATCACAATATATTACACGCTCTTGCCTAGCTTTCGTTTTGTTTTCATAGCATTTTTCATTCTCCATTTCTCCTTTTTGAAATTTCAACTTACAGTTGCTTTAATCAGTTTATTATCATGAATTTTCCTAAAGCTACATTTCAGTT